GACCCGAGGTATGTCGGGGCACCAGGGCCTTCCTTTCTAGGGTATACCTGGTTCCCCGGCAATTAGTACCCGGCGAAGGCGTGCGGTTTTAGTCGGTTCGTGTCCGACATGCCACCGACAGGTGGTATCCGAGGGGATTTCCGCACGAAAAAAAAAAAAAAAAAAAAAAAAAAAAAAAAAAAAAAAAAAAAAAGGTACAAAAATCCGGCAGGTATAAAAATACTCATAACTTCGTCAATTTTGCTCCAATTGACTTGAAATTTTGACACAATATTCTTCAGATATTACGGATTCAATTCCAAAAATAAAATAAAAAATCAAAAAAAATAAATTAAATACCTTACCCCCCCCCTTAACACAAACGTTATATAAGTTAATAGACAAGATGTTGCTCATTGTATAGTTTCCAAAATTATGCTGGCCATGGCGGCAATTTCAATAGCTGTCAAAGCCCCCCACTATGCGTCTCTAAATTCCTGCTCATGTCCGTGTGGGTGCAGTTCACTTAATAAACAATTATTTAACAGACTACGCCGTTCTCAGTTTTAAACTTTATTATTAGTGATGCGTTTTGCATGCTTTTCCTTATACTTCCCAATTCATTCAATTCCTTCTCATTTTTCCTTTCAAATTGAACTCCTGATTTCCCTAATAACCAAAGTATCGGTTGACGCAATATACTTACAAAAGGTAGGTAACTAAAATTACTGTTGCACAAAATAAGGGTATTTAACAATTCGCGATATTGTCTTAATAGTAAAGATAAAAAAAGTGTGAGTGTGAATTCACTCACGGCAGAAGTGAAACTTCTGAAAAAAACATTTTTTATATAATAAATAAAATTGAAGTGTCTGTTTGTAATGTCCAAATAATATCCCTATAATTTTTTAAATGCCGCGCGAACGAAGTCCAGCTAGTATTAAATAAAATATTCACATTGTCAAAATATAATATTAAAAATAATGTGTAATGTATTCTATCTCATTCTTTCGGCGACTTAATCCTATACATCATGATGCATTTTCATTTCATTGAGTTTCAAATTACAACGATTCTAAAGAAATTTTACTTCAAAAAACACCGTGTTCACTTTAGTATACCTACATTATATAATACGCAAATTAAACACAGTTTTTAATCACATAATTTTATTTGTCGATTATACTAATCAATATTAATGGCTATGCGATAACACAACAATAAGAATTTTAATTAGCTACACACATTCAAATGCGGACTCGCCAGTTAAACATTCTGACCGAGTGTGTGTTTCCTGTGTGCCTCGTTAAGCAGTTAATTGATTAGACAGTAATACTTTTTTGGGCACCTATGTTTTTTTTGGTTTCAATCTAGAAGTGTTTGCTCCATTTACTTACCTACGGTACTAATACAAACCATATATATCTGCCGTTTATTCTGACACGTTGCTTGATGAGAGAATCACATCACATTACTGAAGTCTAAAAGGTAATAAATGCCCTTTTCCAGCCATGACCACGCGGCTTCAATTTCATACACAAGTTTGTTTCGACTCTCGATGACGTTTTCCCGAGAAATACCGAGCGGCCGGTATAAAGGGCACCTCCCATACTATCATCTGCATAGCAATAGATACTACTAGTTTGGAACATGTCGTTGATATGCAGAAGAAACAGTGTGGGTGATAGCACACAGCCTTGTGGTACATCAGCATTTCAAGTCGGAGCATACACGACCTTAATGCTTCTGTCCACAAGGAACCTGGTTTTCTTTTTTATGTTAGAGGGGGCAGACGAGCAGACGGGTCACCTAATGGAAAGTGGCTATCGCAGCCCATGAACGTGTGCAACTCAGGAGTCACAAACGCGTTGCCGGCTTTTTAGAAAGGAGTACGCTCTTTTCTTGAAGGTTTGAAGGTCGTATAGGTTCGGAAATGACTATCCAGGTAATGAGGATGAAAATTTTGCCGTATGGAACGATGGCGGAAATTTGCAGCTGGTATTAGTCCGAACAATTCCTCGGAGCACTCTCCTTGATATATGCGATAGAGAATGAAGAGTGACCCAGTTACAAAATTCCTCGGGAAGCCCATAGTAAGGGAGCTTCGAGAGAAGCGCCTTATGCCAGACCCGATCGAAGGCCTTCGCTATGTCCAAACTGACGGAACAAGCCTCTCCATTGGTCTCGATCGCCTCTGCGCACCGGTGTGTTAGAAAGACGAGAAGATCACCAGATGAGCGACCCCGGCGAAAACCATATTATCAGTCATTGAGTGATCATCTAAGTACCGGAAGAGCCGGCAGTTTATTATGGATTCCATTATCTTAGAGAACAAGGGAGTTATGACTATAGGTCTGTAGTTGGAGGGGTCGGAGCGGTCACCTTTTTTAGAGATCTACATAATACACGAGTTAACCTAAGTGCAATACAATAATATTTAAGAGAAGGATTTAATATTTATTTAAAGGAGGTTCTAACATCTTGACCCCTAATAAAAAAAAACTGTTCATGCTGATACATAGATAATACACTTGCTGATAAATGATGGTGACACTTTCTATGACGTTTGTTTGTGGTTTTTGCATCACAAAAATATATTAATAAATGCAATGCAATTGTAATGTTAATGTTCGATATTTTGTTATGTGACATTCAGTTTCAAGACAATGAGTGGTATGTCTAATATTGGAATTCAGATACAAAAAAATTGTAATATTAATTACAATCTATTTGAAATTTTGTACTTTGTTTAACCACGGCCTACCATGTATAATTGTTTTAGTTTTAAGCTAGGGTTTCCTAATACAGGCAACCCTAGCCTAAAAGAAGACTCCTAACACTAAATTGTTATATATAAACTTATAATCCAAATAAATAAATTGAATTGAAATTGAACTATCTGCAGTTTTAGCAGCTATAAAGAGATAACCACACTGCTCCTCAAGGTGAAAATATCTTATAATTATTTTGTCAAGTTTTTAGTTTCATGCAAAAAAATATATTCAAATCGTTCAAATTGGTTTGATAGTCCTTTCAACGAAACTCAAGGGACCAGCGAGTATTTTTTAAACGTTATAGGTTTTTATTTGGCCTATTACCTTTTTTCTGTTACGTCGGCTAGTGCCAATATGTTAAGCATGAGAGTAATACACACACTCACGGCTATAACTCTGTGAGTTAAGGCAGAGATAGTGGTTAAGTTAAGACTATAATATTGGGGATGGGCATGAGGATTTTGTGTCAATTAGGGTGAATTTCCGTGCGTTTAGGCGATTCAGCCCTACATATTATATAAATCAAATATAGCTCACTTAGGATAAATACTTTTTTTCTTTATTTTGTATATCCAACTCCTCCAAATTTCTTCTGATTAATTTCGTTGCGGGTTCCAAGATAGTTTAATATTGTTCCTCGGACTTCCTGAGTGTCATACCTCGGTGTGTTTGTGGGTCACTGCTGTTGATCCTGGTGTACAGGAGTTACAGTGGTGAGCGTGCAGAAATAATTAGTCCCATTAAAAAAAAACATAATATTGTAGAGACTACGTGAGAGCTCTCTTCGGCACACATGGGACAGCTCGACAGGATATCTCGGTCTCACAGTTTGCACAATGTGCAAAAACCGGTGTTAAGCAGTTCTGTCGTTGCCTATCACAAAGTGAGAGATATAACCGGCAGCCTAATCCCCTCCCCCTAACTTCGGTGGAGATGAAACCCACTATTGTGTCGTGCCACATTATTAATCTTTTAACGCGCATAGTTTTGTGTCGACGCAACTCATTGTAATAATCTGTTTCTCTGACTATTATATCAATGTTTGAAACTGATATACTGGTAACACGCGAGGACGCTACAATACATGACCCAACACGACACAGCACGTCACGACACAGTTTTGTGTTTCTACTTTATGTTGGTATAATGGATGTTATGATTAAAACCGGCCACCTAAAACAAATGATGACCGTTAACTACGGAATGTCGGACATTCCTCATTTTACTACGATACTACGATAATATTTATTAATGTACAACACTAACTTGCAGATAACGCACCGCGTTTCGCAGAAGAGACATGCATGGTTCACAATCTACTTATCTCACATATTAACAGTATTCATTTCATGTGATAAACTCACAATGTTTGTGTATTTTCGAACGATTCATCTCATTCATACTCTGTTGAAACTCAAAAACTGTACAAAATCGTCTCTAGGTGAACTAGTTTAATTTTAATAGTTTAAAAAGTGTTCGATATTAACAGTATTCATTTCATGTGATAAACTCACTGTTTGTGTATTTTCGATCGAGTCAGCTCATTCATACTCTGTTGAAACCCAAAAACTGTACAAAATCATCTCAAGGTGAACTAGTTTAATTTTAAGAGTTTAAAAAGTGTTCGATTTAAGTTATTTATTTTTTAAGTTTACTAAAAAAAACGAAAATTAAACAGTGAATAATAAAATTGTTAGATAAAACGTGATATCCTGCATATTCTTGGGAGGATTATTAAAAAAAGTTCCTGCATTCAGTTTTAGCAAGTGCAGAGTGCTCGTAGCAGTGCAGTGATGACATGATTTAGTTATTAATACAGCACAAATTATTGGCATCAACACTGAGATTTGTCTGTTATATTTATACATATACATATAAAATTGGTTCCACATCAAGAAATCATATATTTTAAAGATATTTCTACTACTTATTATAACTCGTTTTAGTTATTGAAAGAATCAGAATATAGGCCTTAAAAGAGCCTTCAGGTCATTTGTAAAATGTGGAATTTATTGTTTTTTTTTACAACTTAAATTTGATTTTATTACTTTTAAAATCCGGCAAACTTATCGTAGGCTCTTAATGTTTTTAATCTTGTGTAAAGAGTTTTAAGAGGTACTGAAAAATAAGACTTTATTTTATACTTAAAAATAAATGTATTCTTTTGTTACAGGTATATTACTGACACATGGAGCACTTACCAGTGCACTCTAAAGGTGGTAGTTGCGTGAATATGAGGTGACCAAAATGCCTCTGCGTACCCGGACAACCTACCTGGTATCGCACCTTAGGACATTGCGAACTATCCGGTTCAGATTTTGTCTACTTTGCTGTAGCATTTTTTTCCTATCGCTGGTATGGATCGAACTTGTTACCCGACAAAACTCAGTAAACGAAATTCTAATTCAAGAAGCTTTAGAAAATGTCGGTCGAGATTTAAGATATTCCAATGTTTATCGTAAAACGAAACATTTACCTAAAAATCTCAAATATTTATTGTTGTGGACTCGTCGGGACTTTGCTCCATTCAGTTTCCTGGAAGAAGGACAGAGAACATTTCTCAAGAACAATTGTTCAGTGATTAACTGTTATGTGACCGCGGACAAGAGGCTTTTTGGTACGGATTACACTAAGTTCGATGCTATAGCATTTAACGGAAGAACTATGAAGTCATACAAACTGCCGCGTAAGCGATCACCTCATCAAAAGTACATATACTTTAATATGGAGTCTGCAGAAAATTTTCCAGTTTGCAATACAAAGTTTGATGGATTCTTTAATTGGACTGCTACGTACAAATTGGATTCAGATTTACCGACACCATATGTACTGATAAGGGATAAAAATCGTGCTATAGTTGGTCCAAAACGTAGAATGCAATGGAAAGATAATATGGAGAATGTGTATGTGGATTATCGTCAAACTATAGAGAATAAAACTAAAATGGCAGCATGGTTTGTGTCACACTGCCGCACTAAGAGTGGTAGACATATTTTTGTAGATAAGTTACAGAAGGCTTTATCCACTTATGGACATAATGTTGATGTATTCGGAAACTGTGGTAAATTGAGATGCCCCAGAGGCAAGAAAAGCACAAGTGAACTTTGTAATTTACTGTTGCAAAAAGAATATTTTTTTTACTTAGCCTTGGAGAATTCATTTGCTGAGGATTATGTGACAGAAAAGTTGTTAACTGCCATGAGTTATAGTGTTATACCTGTAGTTTTTGGTGGAGCTGACTATTCCAGGTATGTGGACTTTATTTTGAAACGTTTATATTCTTTAATAAATTGCTTTTCCATGAAGCATTATCAGGCAACTTAAACACTGTCAATGAGTCAATCGGGAATATTATGATTTGGCATGTAATTTGGAACTTCTATGTAGATAGAGGATATTACATTAAACGTGCTTAAAATGATACAGCTCAGGTATTGTGTAACTTTTAATGAGATGTGGTCTACTACTCTAGTATTTTATCATGTATCAAAATAGTAGTACAAGAGGAATGATCCTATAATAATTGTTTATCTCTAATGTATCTAAGTATTCTTGTTCAATGAGTTATTCTCAACGGCTGCAGAGACACCAAGTTGTCTATTAATCGATCCATTTTAAGACTATATATATATATATACTATTATGTATTTTTGAATATCTAGTATATGTATGAAGGCTAATTTAGGTAACACATTTTTAGAGGTTTTTAAGTGCATGGGCGGCAGCTATTTAGTTGGAATCTTACGTTCAGGACTGTTTGATTTAAACTACTTCAAGATGCATTTAGAATTAAAGTAAACACAAGTACAAGGTTACGACTTTGGTTACGGCATACTGGAAGAGTTCGCATTACTCCATCCGTGGTGTGTCGGACTCGGATCGACTAAAACCACACGGTGTGCCACTCTGCGCCTGTAACAGGAGGGATCCGGGAACAGCTGTTATTAAGATATCCGGACCCCTCCTAGCGCCAGCCCGCTCCTGGTGCGGGCTCCGTCTCAAAATTTTCCGCTCTTTAGGCGACGTCCGGCACACGCGGACGCCGCCCCCTTGCGGCTGGCCAAACTAATGCGGGTGGAGGGGAAACCCACCCCGTCCACCCGCGGCCACACTTAGGGCGGCACGAGGCGGTGATAGGCGCGCCTCCGCCGCCCGGTTCGCCGGCGGCGGATCGGGTCCGAGTGGAGGTCGTCCTCCTGGGCCTTCTCCGCCGCCTCCTTCTGCGAGATTACTTCCTCGCAGAAGGTTGCGACCGCGGTAAAACAACTGTCGCTACCGGCCATGGAGCGTACTACGGCCGGTAGCGAGAGATCCACTCCGATGACTGCAGTGAGGGCCCGGCGCTGCGTCGCCCATGCGGGGCAGACCGCCAGCGTGTGCTGGGCCGAGTCCTCACTGCAGTCGCAGTGGTGGCAGGCGGGACTCAGTTCCCTCCTAGCGACCGAGTGCAGGTACTTTCCGAAGCCGCATTACTGTGCCTATATCAACCCTCCAATTTCTAAAAAAAAAACGAAACTTTTAAACCCATTTTGAGGACAAAATACATAAGGGGGTAGAAGTAATTTTCTGACTAAATCATTAAAAAGTTTTGACACGTTTTTAAATCTGGGTGAACAAATACTGACCTTTAATTACTACGACTTAAAGGTTGTCTTAAAAAAAACTATCACCTGTCTCAAATGTTTAACAAACTTTTCACTTTCAATGTAACAGTGTTCACTTGCCTCGAATTTTTTTCCTGGATGTCTTATATCCGGTATCACTGTTAGGGGTCGTACCCAAAGTAGCATTACCGAATACATTTCATCTATCCACGAGTTAGAAATACCTAATCGGGCCAGAAGTTAGTTTTTAAAATTATACACATACATTATATATACAGGCGAATGCCGCCATAGAACGCTGGCATTGGCCAGCGTTCTATGGCGGCATTCGCCTGTAGATGCTTATCAATTCCCTTGTTTTAAAAACTATCAAAATAGATAACTCTCAAACTGTGTACCGTGGTCGCTTGTAAGCCCTAACGCGTAATTTAACCTTCAGATAAAAACTTTACATCTGTACTCGTCCAAATACCTATACTTGAATGGGAACGCTTCTGGCCATTCCGTCTGTTTGGCTATTATGGTGAGGCAGTAACGCTGTAATCTTCTGTGGTCGGTAGTGGAGAGTCTAATATATTACTTAATTCTGATGCTGTATGATGTACTTTTGAGCGTTGACAATAAATACAAGGTTTAGCCCATTAACCCTAGGTCTTCATTCATTCCTGGCCAAAAATATTTTTTAGAAAATAACTTCTTAGTTGTCCTTATACTCGAATGACTAAGGATGTGTATCAAGTCAAATGCGACACGTCTAAACTTCTGTGGCAAATAAGGATTAGAAATATTACAAATAATAATTTGTTAGTAGTACAAAGGTATTGTGAGTTTACGTGACTTAATATTTTCGTCAGCAGAAGGTACGAGTTCCTGTAAGAGTAAATCATTGTTTGGTTCCAGTACAAATTTTTCGTAATTTAATGAACCTGGGCAGAGTATGGTTTCAACCCGTGATAACGATTCAGCAACAACTTTATCGAAACCACACACGTGTCGTATGTCAATTGTAAACACTCTGATCAATAATAAATAACGTGTACGTCGTGGAAGTTCTCTGTTTGAATTTAATGTGTTAACGGTTTACGGTCTGTGAAAATAATTAATTCGCAATCTTCAAACATTGTTCTTAACTACTGCATTGACAAATATAATAAATCTATTTTAGCTATTTTGAACCTGATGTTGTAGAACTACGCCTACACAAGTATCTGAAGCGTTGGTCATTGATGAAATAGGTCTATCTGTTACTGGATAAGCTTATATGGCGACTGCCTGTAAATTTGATTTACACAGTTCAAATGCTTTCATAGCCGTATCGGACAATTATCGTATTATCACGTCTTTTTGTTCCATGTAGATAGCTATTCAAATTTATTTTGGAAACTTAGCTGCATTGGGTCAATGATTTCTATAAAAAAATCAATGCTAAAATCTACTGTTTTAAATAAAGGATAATTACTAATGGCTTTAACCTTACTAGGCGTCATTTTGATAAAAGCTACTCTACTACTAAAACTTCTCTAGACGTTGAAATAAGAATTTTAAGAGCTTATCACGACGGAATTTCTTAGGAATTTCTGACCCATGGATCATGTAATGTAAATAACAGAAGAAAAATTCTGGCTTATATTCTGAAAACTCAGGAAAAGTTTTTTAACTCTTCTTCCAATTCTTGTAAGACACCATTATTCATGAAAAATTGAAATATTCTTCTTCTTTGCACGCCGCTTTGGACTCCTTAATGTAAACATTAAGGAGTCCAAAGCGGCGTGCAAAACCAAAAGGCGTTATTACAGAGTCTTCTCTTGCTTCTTCAGGTTTTAAAGGAATAAAAATATAAGCCCTATTTGTATCGTATTCGCGAAAAAACTTTTTACCAGCTAAACTTTACGTGAAATCTTTAATATAAGGGATAGGACCCGTTCGGGCTTTTTAAAGTATTTAGAGCTGGATAATTGCCACATGGTCGAATCTGTAAATCTATCATTGGAACTACGTAAATTGGACTATCCCAAGTGGTTTTAGATGGCCTACATATATTTTGCACAATTCCTGCATAAGTCTAAATTCTTCCGGGTACCTTTTGTGGCAGTGGTCTCGCCTTGCGTACGGCGGTACCACTGGCGGACTGGCGCTCTTGACGTCTCTATATCATAAAATACAGCATGGGAAGGGGGTTCTTTAAAAGATAAAGGTTTAAAATTTATACTAACCTGTAAGTGAAATGACTGATATATTTGTACCAGAATCAATAAGAAAACAAAAACAATTGTCATGTTCAGTCACACGGAGTCAATGGTTTCCGATTTTGATAAAAGGGGCCCACCGTTTTCACCTGCACTTCTGTTAGTTTACCTACTTCTTCTACTGGTAGAAGTCGCATTACCTTTATATTTGTAGTGGTAAATGCATAGCTGGATCCTAGGGCTACGTCTATTCCGGCTGCTATCTTTTTTACTGGAACACTGGACTCTGAAAAATGTATTTGGATATGTAATTTTAAGTAGGATCTAGATTTTTGTAACATAAAAGTGATATTATAATTATTGTAAATTGTATTAAACGTTCTAATAAAGATAAAATAAATGAATATTGTTCGCGGTTACCATGGGTTATCTACATCTTATCTAAATATTCAGATAGGTGGTATTTCATCAGCAGAAAACCTTCAATTTGTCAATATTTAGCTTTTCTGAAGAATAAAGGATTTTTTCAATATTCGAAGACAAAATTTACTTAGCCTGCCTCTTATAAAATAAACCTATTACATAGCAACTACCTATATACATATACAGTATAAATTTCGGAACGGAAAAGTCTCTTATGAGAAACTAAAGTATACAATGTGACGAATTACTATAAATTTCAAGAATGTAAAAGTAGAAGAGCAGAGAGTAAGCTTTATAAGTGCTGCCCTTTGAATCGACCTCGCTAGAATTTGGGGGTGAAATGCAACGAAAAATTGCTTAACACTTGGCCGTTGTATCACCCAAGTCCAGCTGTCCCATATGTACGGAAGTACGGCTCTTCCACAATGTATTTATTGAAGACGTCAATAAAACCATTAGGTGTGATGAAGCGAGTTTCATCTGTTTGTAACGTGGATTAGTCGAATCAAGTATAAGGCACTAGCAGAAAATCGTTGAATTTCTTGTATAATTACAATGAAATTTTTCTTCTTCCAGATTTATTCCTCCTGAATCTTACATTGATGGACGGCAGATGAACTCCTATCAGCTGGCAGCATTAATGGACAGGCTGGCTAGGTCGCCTAGGCAGTACAGTCGTTATTTTAGGTGGAAGAAGTACTACACGTATCACAATCCGTCAATGAACGAGAACATGTGTAATATTTGTGAAGCCCTCAATGATAGGACTATGATGGAAAAAACTACTATTTATAATAATTTTCGGTCTTGGTGGAATCCTTATTATAAGGAACGATGCAGATAATAATTATACTACATTTTCTTATGTTCGTTATACCGATATATATGATAAATCGTTATCACATGAACAGCTAGAAGAATTTCAATTTGCATTATGTAATCAGCTGGGGCTGTAAAATTGTATTGTAAATTAATTTAATATAATAAAAATACCAACAGTAAGTTTGATGTATACGAATTATGTTGTAAATGCGAAAAATAACTCTATTGATCTGTTTTAACTATTTAACCGATTATTCTGATATTTTGCATAATTTTATGCAGTAAACATTAAAGAATAAATTACTATCAGTTAGGGATGGAAAAATAACAACAACGCTAGTGAGGTCTCAAATAGTTAGTTTGAGTTGTTTTTTCGTTTTAAAATGTAAGTGTAATAAAATATTCGACATTGTTTTAGAGAGGCTATGTTTGTTTATCTGTGTCACAGATAATTACAGTGAAAGTGATTTGAACAGACTGATTACCAGTATTGAAACAGGCAGTCAGCCATGTTACCTATGGTACCTAGGAGGGGCAAATGTCTCAAGTAGACTCTAAAATTGAAAAAATGCGATCATGCGATCAACGCAACAATCAAGCAATATGAATGAGTAATAGTTAGTTATTTAAGTTTTTTCTTACTTTGTTACTTAATTATAGTCAATCTAAGAGAGGTACCGTTTAACGTTTCATACTTTTCAAGACTGTATAGGCGTAACTCACATAGTTTCAATAATCTTTACCGTAAAACCACGTAAGTAGCTATTTTTATTTTGTCGCAAGATTTAAAATTCTTAATGACTAAATTAAAATTTAAATCTTTGAAACTAGGCAAAATAATCAATTTATACACAATATTTGTTTTTATTTCAAACTTCATTTCAAAGTCACGTAGTTAGGTCCTATACTGTAGTGTTGCGGCTCTTCAAATTCACTTGAATACGAATAAACGTTAAAATGTACGAAAATGGAATTTATTAATAACGAGTAATTTTCACTCCAGGCTTCTGAAAGTGTTTAATAAAACTTAAAATTCATCTGACATCAAAGGTAATGTAATTTTAAATAAATCTTTATAGGCAAAAATGCGCTCGTGTCCAAGGCTAGTGTATACTAAGATTAACTAGTAAAACCTATGATGTGCCATTACACGGGCTTCTTTAGTAACATACATAAATCTGTAAAACTGTAATCGATTAGTACATACTAAAAATGATATCGAAATCTCTTAAAAATCAGATATTATAGTAATCGATATCTTTGACCCCGTCCCTATTCTTCAATCTGTCAGAACTGTCAAACGGTACCTCTTAGATTAGATGAACTATAGACTCCATAATAGATACGTGTGTAAATATTTTATTTAGTAACTAGAAGTTTGCTACGAGGATAAGATTCATTCCATAAATATATTTTTCGAAAACTTTTGGAAAGACAGACAAAAAACTTATTAGACTCTATCCTTTCTTTTATTTTCTTTCTGACATCAGTATTGTTATTGATAATGACCAAAAACATTGCCAGTTCGATTGAAAATAACAATCGCTTTTATTTAAGAGGAATTTTTGTCGATTTGAAACGAGAGATCAATTCCAGCTAAAAATATATTATTTTATATAATAAATAATAAAAAAAAAAATATTACAAGGGATTCCATTGACGATTGCAGTGTAAATAAATCTTCCATTTGTTGATTATAAAAATTTTCGTTATTGCAAGTTTAATGTAAAATAAGTATTCATGATTATAGACTAAGGGATTTATACTGGTTTTGAAATAGTTACTATCGATTTTTGAAGATGCAGTAAAACATTTTTTTTACAATACTACGTAAAACAGAACAAAACTCGTTTCATTGTGTAAAAAAGAAACATTAACTAAAAAAAAACATGTTCAGTATCGTAATATTATTTAGGGATACATTAAATGTCGTGTGTCGTAGGTCGAGTGTCACTAACCCAATTCATTACTTGGCCGTGGGCGCCATAAGAGTCGACTAAGGGAGTAACCTACGTAGGACAACAGGACAATGCAAAGAGAAGGACAACTTAAAACAAACCCTATGCCAACTCGTCTCGCCAGCGCGGTATAGTAGACCAAAACCTCCTTTCTAAAGAGAGGCCTATGCCCAGCAGTGGACTATTTAAGGCTGTTGATGATGATGGTGATGATGAATAGCGATAGGTATTAAGTATATACCTTCGAAACGTACTCAATTGAAACTTAATATTATCGTGAACGCTTTATTTCGCGTAAACATAACTATTGTCATCATCATCTACAGCCTTTAGTAGTCACAGCTTGACATAGGCCTCTCCTTAGGCAGGAGGTTTTAGCTTACTGTACCACGTTGACCAAACTGGTTGGCCCAGGGTTTGTTTCAAGTTTGCCTTCTCCTTGTAGTCTTGTTGTCCTGCGTAGTTTGCTCCCTCAATCAGCTTTTATGACATCCACGGGACGAATAAATCCATAGCATCCCTATCTTAAATCCATCATTACACGGATAGCATAACGGGTAGGATAAACAATATATTTTTTTATATTTTAACTGGTCATTTTAATGTGTAACTGAAACTTTGGAGCAGTTATGTTTTGAAGCAACTGTCAAAAAGAAAATAAATGAATACACAAAGTATAGTCTATTACAAGTGAAATCCATCTAAGGTTACCACCATTTATTTGTAATACCTTCTATTCTTGTGAAAATATTACGCAATACTTTTGTCTGTTTTTGAACTTCTTTTAAATACTCTTAGTCATTAAATTAAAACCCCACAGTCTTCTTAGCAATCATACTCTTCACACTAATGTTTTTGTAACTTAGCTGTTACTTAGAGTGTAATTTGTGTTTTTGTAATTTCTATACGCGGTTTATTTGAACTTTAAAAGTTTGTGTTGTTATTTTTTTTCGTTTGAAGAGTTCCGGCGTGTTTTCCTAACAAAATTGTTGTTATAGTTAGGTTAATTCAGTAATATTTGTACTAATAATTTCATGTACTGATTAAATTGTACCTTGTTGTTTATATTTGTTGGTTAGTGTATAACCTATGAAGAAACTTTAAAATAAAATATAAAAACTGTAAGTGCCAGTGTAGGTAACAGGACTATCTGCACTCCCATTTACATTTTTGTAGACTCTCTTTAGCTTAATAGTAATTTTAATTTGAAGTAGGTCAATTTGAAACTAAATATGTTGCTCAAGTTAAGTAGAAGTAGAACTTCTATCTTTTTAATAAATAGTATCACTTTGAACTTAGATAATGTAGAGGGATGTTTGTTTCCTTAAGTGTTGGCAATAAAATCTTATATTGTTCAATTTTTAATGATTTAGTCTTATTTATCTGTAGGGTCTTTAAAAGGACTTGTCTCATTGAGTATTACGTTAGATTAAGTCTTTAGCTTTAATTATATACTTATATATTTCATAAACGCTACCGTTTATAGACTGCACGAATGGCGTAGTGGCTTAAGCGGTCACCTCGCCGCTTTCTATTGAACTGAGAGTTGGGGGTTCGATCTTCAAATGGGACAACACTATGTGTGACACAAATTGATTTTGTAGTCCCCGCGACACAGAATAATTCCTAGTCCGGGAGTTGTCTATTTAAATAAATGAGAAAATAATAATTGTATAATGAGAATAACAAATCGATAAAAAAAGAGGAGACAGAATAAAGCTGATATTATATATATATATATATATATATATATATAACTTCAATTAATTGCTTTATGATACAAATGGTAATTCTAGTACAGACATTTAGACAGCGTTTATCTTCCACTTAAAAGTAACGGTTATCATCACAGTATGATCATTATAAAACTTAATCTTAGATTCACGACAAAATACATGTGGGTATACGGGTTTAGTTGTTCACGGTTGCTTCCCTTATCTCTATATTAATACGTGAAGAATATTCTATGTACCCCTTTTATACATTGAGGATGCCAAATCCTAAGTAAAATGCTACATGTTTCCACGTATAAGAAGTGCAGAATGCTACATTTTTAAACAATATGTACTTAAAGTTAAAAATAATATTCCCAGTATGTCAATGCACAAACTTCTATAATATTTATTAAGAGATTATATTAATATTTGGAAAGTACTGATTAAGGCATTTTACTACAAGTTAAATTAGCGATACACAGTCAAAAATCTTGCGTTAAAAGTTTATAAAATGCACGCAATTTTCCCAGACAAAGATCCAATTCTAAAACGATCAAAAAAACAATTTATTTTTCTATTATGTTCAACATATTAGTCATTTATTTTATTTGGTAAATACATGTATCTTTAAAATATTTGCATAACAAGCCATGGCTTAACAGCTTTGTTGAGATGGCTTACCGGTTTTTTAATCTTGATATCATCGTTAGTACAAATCGTCAATAAGATATCTTAGAAACAGTGTTTATCTAAAAACTTTTCCATTGAGTTGTACTCTCCGTTGTTGATTCTTGAATATTTATATGAATAAAAAAACACTATGTTTTTTAATATAAATAATGTTTACAACTGCCTGAGGTGGGGATGTGCCAATGCAAAAAATAATATGGATAAATAAACACGGGTATGTTTAGGACAGTTTACGTTTGATTTTAATATTATATAATTTAGTTAGGTTAGTTCTTCTGCTCTTTTTCGTTGTGTAAGATTTACATTGTTTGTACCAACAGGAAAGATAATAAGATATCATTTAACTGCATGCTCATCATGTGAGTCTGCAGCTCGCGGTTATAAACCTGGATGAAGGTAAACTGTTAGTCAGATTTTATATTATGTTTCTTCTTCACAAACTTAGAATATTTATTTATAGACCAATAGTTATTTCATAGTACGCTATGTTAAGTTTAGAAATTAGTTAATCTATGGAGCTTCCTATAAAATCCTATAGTTTGTTGTTTTATTTGTGTAGTCAAAATTTGCTTTTATTATTTGTCAAAGCTCACGATCATCAAGGGTCGTTACCGTGTATTCGACTAATAGAACATTTAGAAGAAAATCGCATTTCCTGTACTCATAGAACAAGTAGTACAATTCATTCTGGGTTGTTCTCATAAATCATCAATAGAACTAGGAAACTAATTTCTGGTTTTTATATTTCATTCTAATACAGTGAGAATATTTTTATACTGTCCAACATAGCAACTGAGAATAACGCAAAGATACAGAATATGTTGCTTTTTCTTTGGTAACTTTTCAATGTTACTTTAAATATTTAATTTTGTGTATTTTGTAAAATTAGTGCAATAATTATAGCCACTAGTAAGCAATACATGTACATCTACGAGAATCTTGTGGCAAATAGGTAAATCCAATTGTGATTGGAATGAACGATCTTGATAGTGATTCTTTTTATATGTAAGTATTTGCTACTTGCAAATAAGTAGTGTAGTCTTCTTTTAGTTTTAATAATTTTTGAAAGAGCGCAAATATCTTCCTAACTATAAAATTAATTTCTGATGGTGCTTTTCAGATTTCATCATTTTATTTTCCTTTACATAAATAAATAAAATAATATGTAATATACATATATACTTCCGACATATCCCTAATTGGAGTGTTACTAGTTGTTTAGAACGATTGCATTTTTGTTTGTCTGTAGTAAATGAGTTCAATTATTGTCTGACCAAAGGTATATAATAATATATAAAAGTATATGTAAAGTTTTGTTGTGAAACATCTATAAATTTTAATGTTATATGTTAAGTAGTTATGTATTAAGCTTATTAATTAGGATAATGATTCGTATATCAAAGGGACGCTCTGAAAATAGCCTGTTCTGTAAAGATGACCCACTACCAAAGAAATATGTTTGAATCTTTTAATAAACGATATAGCAATGTTTTATCCGACTATTTCATTTAAATTTCAGGGGTTTTAACGATTTTCTTCCAACTTAACAAAGCCGTTGTTATTCTATCTGATAGAATTGCGATAATATATTTTATAAAATAAAACTGTTAGTGATTTATTAATATCTGCAGAGTAAATAAGTACTTACAAAAGTTAATATCTCTTGAGAGACATGGCTAACTTATTAAAAATATTACATAATTATGTTACTATAGAATATTGAATGTTGTTGAAATGTTCGGGCTGTTTTAGAATCATCCTGGCAACGTCTGAAGTTAAAACAAGTAATTTAAAAATATACATAAAACTCATTTTATACTTCTTTTTTTAGAACACTGTATCTCTAACCAAACGGGAAATTGTATTTCAGACAACTATGTATTCATTTTGGTGGTTAGTTGCGCAAGATTTTAGTACACAGTAGTATCTTATTGTATTATATTTTGACGTACTTCGCCTTTCTAAAATAAATATGGAAAACCTTAAAATAACCCTAATTTTTCATTGATTGTATTTTTGTTACTTTTGAAAGATGTGCAGGTGCATCAACAATTCGATAATATTGTTACAGTTATTTTTGTTCCACTTGTACAAATTTACAAATGTAATGTAGTTAGCGTATAATTACGTAATTTTATTGTAAAATAAACTGTTATTAACTTTTCCCAAAAATATTGAAGTTTCAATTATGGCATGAAATGAGCCATAAAATGCCCGGCCATTGATGCTAAAACCTAGACGTCTTATCAATGTAAGCATCAGATATTAATGTAGAAAAGTATTTACTTGAAATTTGATAAATGTGGGCAATATTAAAGTGATAGAATGTTAAAAATCCATACTTTAGTAGGTATTATAATGAAAATATAATAACCTTTATCTGTTGGAACTTTATTTGTTGCATTTATTAAATAAATATGTTAACTAAAATCTTTTTTCATTTTTATCATCACAGATAATATGATTAATTACTTCTTATAATTAATTAGGCTTTTTTTTTATTAGGACTATCCCGCATATGGAATACTGTTCTCATCTCTATGCAGGGGCACCTCAGTACCAGCTTCTCCCTCTGGACCGCATCCAAAGAAGAGCGACTCGAATTGTCGATAGCCCAAACATCTCCGAACGGCTCGATCCCTTGAAGTTACGTAGAGTGCTATGATGCTTCACTCTGCATGCTCTATCGCAAATACATATGATGGAGAGTGCTCCGAAGGATTTAGCAGCCAAGCTCAGAAAAATACACCCAGTTTTGAAGGCCGTAAGTAATTGTTTTGCATAATACATAATCAAAAGCCGTCAGGTACGAGTCGAACTCGTGCGCCGAGGGTTCCGTACCTACCCAGATTTTACGTAGATTTTCGCGAAAATTTGTAAGTACCAAAATTTATCTAATTTTTTTTTTTTTTTGGAATTATTCCTTTATTTGTGCTATAAGACGTTTCTTTATGCCAAATTTCGTGATTCTAGGTCAACGGGTTTTCGACCCAAAACCTATAGAATACCTCCGGTTGACCTAGAATTGTCAATTTTGGTTAAAAGCAATGTCTTACAGCACAAGTAAAGAAAAAATTCTGAAAAATAAAAAAAGTTTAAAATTAAGGTAAATTATGGTACTCGCAATTTTTCGCGATAATCGAAATTTGCCCATATTTTTTTATCGTGTTGGTCAGGATCATGATGTTTATACACCTAATAGCGATCATAGACCTCAGTATCTGGTATAAATTTCAACTTGCTAGGTCTACCCGTTCCTGAGAAAATCGGTGGTGACAGACGGACAAGAAAGTGATCTTATAAGGGTTTCCTTTTTTACCTTTTTAGGTACGGAACCCTAATAATACCATCGATAAGCACAAATGATTTGTAACTTCAATCTTATTTGACTCCGTTGTCCGAAATATTATTAAAATATTATATTATTTCAACCCAGGATAAATAATTCTGTGATGAGCATGATAGTTTTTGAAGTGAACAACAAGCAAAATAATATTTTTTTTGAAATGGGAATAAAACCATTGAACTCACTGTTACCGTTACCGACACCTCTTTATATAAGTACCTACATATATTGGCCCCTTTTACACGAGAGTTGAGTTTGGGTTAAATACATTCATAATATAACTACATATATATAATATAAAAATGTCAATACATTTTTATTTTATATATATATATATATACACACACACACCTTCCGTGTGGTGACGGATAAAGAATACAAATTGTCACCACCCCAATTCACCCCGTGGGTGTCGTAAGAGCCGACTAAGGGAGCAAACTAAGCAGGACAACAGCACTGCACTGCACCAACCCGTCTGGCCAGCGTGGTATAGTAGGCCAAAACCTCCTTTCTAAGGAGAGGCCTATGTCCAGCAGTGGACTAGTATAGGCTGTTGATGATGATGATGATACACACAATGTGTATATTTACGTACAACATAGATATATCTTCAGGTCGGACCTTTTCGAACAGAATAAACAAAAAAAAATTTAAGTTTTCACTTTTGTCGGCACTCCCGGAGTGCCACTGTTTTTTTTTCTGTATCAAATTGTAATTTATCTATAATATCTATTATTTAATAAATATTATAAAAGTGAGTTTATTTTTTTGTTGTAACAACTAAACTGAATAGGCTACTGTTTACCGCGATAACCGACATACATATAATAATATGTGGGCGGAAGTCAAAAGCTAATAAATATATAAGTTTATTTATCACCACTCTGGTTACCATAGTTCAGGCTCTACCTACTTTGGGATCAAGTACGGATGGCTGTATGTGAAATGTTCCAAGTTATAATAAAAAAGCGAGAAAGCTGTGGTCGATAACTAGTTATTTTTTGGTTGAAAGGACAGAATAAGGATAAAATAGGTATAGAGTGATAAATACCCATATTCCTTTAACACATGATCCTTATGCAACTTTCTTCAGATCTATGATGCGTGCCATTTGTAAATTATAACAGACAGCTACTTGTAAACCATATTTTAAAACATTTAAAACATTTTGACTGTACCATCGTTTTACATATATGAGATCGTTTTTTTTGTTGGAATGTTGAATATTTATTTATTTAACTCTGTGGATAGCTTGTACTCAATAATATTGACTTCTGTAACCACTTATGTATCACAAAATTAAATCATTATTTTCATCTGATTATTATGTTCTACATGAAACAAAATATATAAAATAATATTTATTTATTTGACCAATATATATGTAGGACATTTTGATTTAAAATAGTTCGTTGAATAAGTTAAATAGTCTATATATAGAATCGAACCTTGCAAACATTTGACATAATTTTTTGATAAAGGAACTAAAGACTAAAAGTAAATATTGGGATTAAATATTATATTTATATATTCTTTTATATTCACAGATTGTATCTCCAAGCAGAGCCATATTGAAAACATCGAAAGACCTTGTCCCCTCTAGAGCATAACTTGTATCCGAAATTATTTTCAATCAAAACTTGGATGCGGACCTCTAGGCGGAACCATCTCAAAACCTTATTACCTGGAAAAAATAACAGCTGACAAGCCTCACTCGAATGCTTGAGTCAGACTTGAGGGTGTTCGACTTCACGGTCTAAATACTGGAAGGGTCATTGAGTTCTAGTAAGTGAACTAACGTGTACACCTATTCGGTACAATTTCGAATCTATAACTGTAACCTTTGCATTTAATTGTAATAATAGAATATTCTAGTGATGTAAAATATTGTTTTATTTTTTGTAACACTAGACTTTTAGTTTTAGTTTAGTTTGTGAACATTTCAAAATGTAAGCAGATGTTGATGAACTTCATATATAAATAAAACCAAAAAGAAAACAATACAAAAAGTTGATAAACTCCTGATGAGGAACATGGGTTTCATTACGTTCCACGATTCGATAGTAGTATAACTGATATTTTTATTTTCTCGATTTAAAATTTTCAGTGTAAAGAGAGATGCAAATATAGTATTTGAAGTGGAACTGGATAAACTAGTAATGAATACTGAAAGGGCTACAGTGCTCTATCACCGCAAAGGCAAAGAGCCTATTGAAGTAACTGACGACTCACAGCTACACATCAGTAAGTACATATCTGTTTTTCTGGTTTTATTGTGGTTTGCATTTTGTACAGACTTTTTTTTTTTTAAATTGATAATTAGGTGATAGTATTTGTGAAAAATATGATTTTTCTATTGTATGTTTGCATTAATTATTATTAACATTTAGGCTTCAAAACTGATATATGTTTAACCAGCTGTATCCTGACACGCTTCGTTGTGACACATTGTGGTTGCATTCATGCGAAATAAAGAATAAAACTGATGCCAAAAATTGATAAAAACAATCTTCAAAACGGGTTGTGTATCGTGTTTTATTTGAGCTCAATCGGTGCAGAACTTTTTGTAATTTTGAAGAGTACATAGAATTTTATATGTATGGATGTAGTTTCTTAATATTTTCTTCATGTCACTTTAAAAACTTAAAATAGAGGACATATAGTTGAATAAGTTGTAGAAGAGTGTCAGATATAATAATACTACATGGTTCAACACAACAAAAAAGCCGTATTAAATCGTAACCCAATTTGGGTTACAAATTTTGCAAGCGTAGTTTTCTAAGCTTAACATATTTTCTGTATCTTTATCATATAAGTTCAATTAAAGGGGTTAACTATTAAGACTCAGATGTGTCGTACTAAAAACGTGATAGGATTTGGCTACTTACAAAGAATATTGTATGGGATTTTAATGCGTTTTACTTTTAACTGAAGACATTAAGTATGTTTTAATTATTCTTGTTTAAACTAATTAGATTTTCATAAAGTGAGGTGGTGTAAGCTGCATTTGAATAAACGTCTCTATTTTTAAATTATAAAAAAAAAACTTGCTTATTACATTGAATTAATTTTGACTATGTTTTTATTACAGATGGGTTATCGCTTAATGTAAGCTACTAATAATGTAAGTACTATTCGAGATTTCCATGGTAGCAGATCGGGAGATCGACATGTTTATGCCTATTTCAATAACCCCAAAACGTACATTAAGTTGGGAGCAGCATTTGTAGACAACACTGGAATAGGTAAAACTAATATTCATTTACAAATAAAATTACGACTTGTAATAAAAAGACAATTGATGACACGTTACATGCTTTTGCATGCTTTAAAAAAAGTAGCATGTTTTCTATTCCAGATTTTAAGACAGAAGAGAAAGAAGACAGAGAAACAAACTTGTATCCATAATAGTCGCATAATGGTATTTCTAATAGTAGTAATATTGTACCAACACATTTCTCACTACAGTCGATAATGACTGACCCTTTGAGAAGTTCTAATTTAAAGGTAGTTATGTAAAGAGAAGGAAAACTTGAAATTTAGCATCATATCTTTCCAAGCTGCATGGTGACGGTGAAAGATTTGAATTCTATTATTTATTTACTTCGTCACATATGTTGCAGATGCTGACTGGATCAATTTGAGATGGCTAGAAGACTTTCAACTTACTATAACGGAAGCAGTGATATCACTGGGGCCGGGTTACTTGACGGCGTTTTTCAAAACTAAAATTTGTGATATGACGATCAGCAAGTAGTGACCGAATTTCTATAATATCTTACTCACTTTACTATGACTTGAATTATTAACTTGTAATGAAGTTCAAGTTATACCACGAATGTTTTCTTTTCTCTAAAAACATCATTTATCACACTTTCTACTGCTTATTATTAAAGATTCATTTCGTGCACAGATTTTCAATAAAACATTTATACTGCACATGTGTGTTTATTTCTTTTCGTGTTTCCATCGAATAGCAAATAGGTTTATTTCATTGTAGTTGCAAAAGTTTCTCTTATATCTAGTTTCAGACAAGCTTTTGGAAAAGTGACAACCATACGTGGTTTTCTAATTAATAATGCCATCAGTAAATTTCGAAATTATCTTTATAGGTGATCAGGCCGAACGCTCCTAGAAAACCCGCCAGTCTTTTGATATTAAATTTAAAATTTACTTCGATGTTTTTACTTTTCTTATCTGATTTATAATTACCGGTAGTAGTAAGGATTGTGGATTTGAAACCCACATGGAACAACACTTAGTGTGAGTCACAATTTTTTGTTTTGAATCTGGGTGTTCTTTGTGTCCGTTTCATTAATGTTTGTAAAGTCTTCGTTAACGTAAGCTTATAATAAAATCTGTCTGATATCTTATCTGTCAGCTATAAAATTCCTACTACAAAATTTTAGATTTACACATACCCAGTGTTGTCGCTAAATTCTTTCTAGACCATATTCCACTTCAGGTGGATCCGTCTCTTTCTTTCGTTTATAGTCAAATTTAATGGGACTTTTGCTATTATCAGTTGCTCATTCTTGTTACCCCAGGTGTAAACTGATTGACTTCTTTGACATATATAGCAGCAATAATCTTTTAAAGTACACGCCAGCCAGAGTGTAGACCAATATACCAACTATAAAATATCCTTTTATAAAAGGCAACTATTTTGCCCTTACAATAATTTATAGTAAGATAAGATAAAGTATAAGATAAGTTATAGTAAGAATACATATATGACAGATTATTTTATACCCCCTTCAAGTTCATAGGGGCTTATGTTACAAGACGCCTGATGTGATGGCCAAGCAACATTAACTTGATACAAGACTGATTTTATTTTCACAAGAGTTATGATTATACGAGTATCTAAAGGATTCACTATACAAGGTGTGCATCTTGAATGTTTTGGCTCTGCATCGCCCTAAGGTTGACTAGGAGAAAATGCCTACTACTAAATAATACACATACAAAGCGCATTAATTACCTTCATAATCGTTTGTTTCTTAACTAAAAATACGTTTTTTTTGCAATAGACATAAGAAGTATGTTACCGTATTTGTGATACACGTTTAATGTAAAACGTAATTTTTGAACACACGATTTTAGACAACCTGTGCAATGATTCTTCCCAAACTACAGAGACTTTATTTAACAGTAAATTGGTAAAATATTTAACTGTTGTTTTAGGATAGTATTTAACTTTAACTAGATAACTAGTTATATATAAAAAAAGCTACGATGATCCACCGCCGTAAAGGCAAACAGCCTGTAACAGCAAGTAACTGACATCTTTCAAGTACACATCAGTAAGTACGTGTGTGAATACACAGTAAACAAACAGGGCCCCAATTCCAGTATTTTAATATTGTATCAATGGAGTGTCGTCGATTACGACGACACTCCATTGATACAATATTAAAATACGAAAAGTGACAAACTATTAAGTTTGGCACTTTTCGTAATCTACTAACTAAATAAAAGACCAATGGCCTTGTCACTGATACAAAATGTTATCGATGTCTGTGGAATAGTTTGGTAAACGGTAGTCTAAAAATATTTGACAGAATTACCAGTTGTTACAATGACAACACGATGGCTTCAAGGTGAATAATATTGTTGTTAAACTACCATTGAACTGCCATCAAGGAGTCACTACTTGTGAGTGTTATGTGCGTATTTAGTTATTTACGTTAATTCAGTAGATAGGTAATTAAACTGTTAGAAGTAAAGTAACTAATTAAAATATTAGAAGCTGCTCACAACAAAGATCGTCGAGTTAACGAGGGTCGAAATCGCCGACAAGCTCGTGGTTTGTCGAGACAAAGTGGTAATATTATTATATTGGATATAATATGCGAGGACACATTTATAAAAGTGTTTAGGCTAACAAAAAGCCTTGTGAAGAAGATATCAGATAGAGGTAAAGTTAATAAAATGAAAACAAAGGCTCTATTGGTAATTTATGTTTCAGTTAAATTGACCTTACGGTTTCCTGATATCTACTTTATATTTCAGCTTCTGATATCATTTTAAGTGACAGGATCAAATCAAACTTTGGTAGGCCAAAGTGCATTCTATAATGTGTCACAAACTAAAGTGTCATGGGCTATGAGACAAGTGACCAAGGCATTGAATCATCCCAACACTTTTCACAAATATCTGAGATTACCGATAGAGCATCAAGAAAGAAATGACATAAATGCATAGTAAGTATATAACTTTAACGTTTTAATTTATTTAAGTTTTATATAGAAACAACTTTTACAAAATCATTTCTATATATATCTTAATATTTTTTTATAAGAGATAATACCTTGCCTTGCCGCTTTTCTATAATACTTATTTGCCACGGATGGCGTAGTGGTTTCAGCGGCCGCCACGCCGCTTCCTATTACGCCGAGTATTGTGGGTTCAAACCCCACATGGGACGACACTTTGTGATCCAGTGACGATTGTTGTTCTGAGTCTGGGTTTTCTTTGTGTCCGTTTCATGTATGATTGTAAAGTCCCCCGCGACACATTATATGTTTCTAATGCGGGAGTTGTTTTTTTAAAAAACGAAAAGAAAAAACATATAATTAATATAAAACTATAATAAATAAAAAAAACATTAAACTTTACCTAAGAGTGAGCCTCTTGGTGAAATCTGTAATGAAGGCTAAAGGTTAAAGGCTAAATGTGTTTATTTATACCAATTTATTTATCAATGCTTAATTTTTCAGTTTACTTAATGTTTTCAATAATTTACTAAATGTTTTCATTAAATATATGTGATTTCGATCTAAACATCATGTGTATGCATGCCAATATCCCTGATGCAGCCCATGACTCCTGTACTTGACTCAGCCAACACTTAATGGGTTTAGCTGGTCCCGGTGAAGATAATTCATTTTTAGCAGGTGAAGTACATAGCTACTTTATGATGGTAAGGTACCTAATAACTTTGACTAAACAAAATAAAATCATTTTATTTTGGTTTAAGCTTAATACCCTACACATGCACAAAATTGTGTTTGTAAATGTTTCCCCTACATCTCTGTCCATAATATAATATAACCACTCTTATAGTGGTGTCAAGGTGAAAAGAGTTGCTGGGCCATCTCCTGAAAACACTGAAATGAAAACAAAATATTTTAAACTGATTTCACAATGAAAGTTATGCATATTTACCATGGTTATTATTTTATTAAATACAAAAAAAAATTATAAAGTTCATCACCTGTCGCTCTGATTTTTGTTTCTTATTTTCTCTATCCACTTTGATTTTTTATTTGAATTCTGTATAAACCTGAAAAACAAAAACTATTTACTTACAATAAGATATTATTAAAATAAAGAAATCAACGGAATAGTGAAAAGATTAAAGAAAGTTATAGTCAAAGTTTTCTGAGTTATCGCTTGCCTTAACAGTTAAAGCAAATAGTATTAGAAGGCAATTTGCTTAACTGAGAGTTCTCCATGTCAAGTTGTGTAAAAAATTTGAAATTTGTTGATAACGCGGTGAACTATTTGCCCTAACTTATTTCGTTATTGCCTTTTCATAAAGAATGAGATTGGTAGAAGTGCCTAGAAGAATGGAACAAATTTGTTATGTAAATTAATACTCACTACTCCCTACTTTGGCAGTCTTGCGAAATATCATATATTTGGGCACTCTGTCCATAATCGCTTCGCCAGACTGCATCCTTCCTTGAACCAGGAACATCAAACACGTCTAATCGTACCTCACTTGCATCATTTCTGCAACGCATTTAGGAGTTTGAATTATAAAAATTCAAAGTAAAGACAATGGTGCACTAGTGTTAAACCATAATTTTATTAATATTATGTTTAATTTTTTCTGTAATTTGTTTGCAGAAATAGATAATATAATTTTACTCAATCGATAACATCTAAAAAAATACGAAAATAATTACTTACATCATTTTCAAAATTAAAATGTTTTCTTAAGAAAAATTTCCTTAATTACGGTGTATTATGTCGTTGTAGTTTATACATTTGTATCAATAAATATGGTAAATTCATGACAACTTTATGGACCAACATTAAAAAACGTAATACATTTTTAATTTATAAGGAAATTATTTATTTAATTTAAAAATAAATTGGCAATCTGTTTGATATCACTACTGATGAGCCACTGCTATTCCATTGCCACTGTAAAGACGTTGAGATAGTGTAAACTACCGATATTTTGACCGATGTCAATGGCCACTCGATCAACGGCATCTCAAATAACGTATGGAATGACAGCGGTTTGGCGTTAACATAAAATAGCAGAATTGAGGCCCTGGTCTGAATTGATAACTACCCTCGGATACCACCCACCAGTGGGATGATTATGTCGGACAAAAACAACACTCCGTTTCCAGGTACCAGTAGCTGGGGAATCAGGTATACCCTAGAAAAGAAAGATATGGTACGTAATTTTAATCAATAATTACTAAGGAAATTGAAACTAATAACTCAGAATGGATTTGAAATAATTATAATTTGTAACTGTATGAGTGAAGAAGCCAGATATTTAAAAAATCACACACACATGTAAACGTATCATTACGTACTTATCGGAATAACACACAAATGTAAACCTGAAGAGATATTTCATTCTAGTCACAGAGAAAGCGGTCTGTTTTTAGTTTCCATAACCAGTTACTTTATTATGAATTGGCTTATAGATTGATTTATCGTTTTTTTATTCCTCCATCATGCAATTATCCTTCGATTGGTTATAATTGCTGTATCGTTTCTTTTGTTTTTAATTTAGGGATCAATTTATAATAGCGTGTTCATCAGGATCCATTTATAATTTACAGTAATTTTTTGGCTGGCTATTTTGATAGGCTCGACTTTGTTTTGTTGTTTAATCTAATAGTAGAGGAGCCCTAGAAGGGATTTCGGGATTTACTCGAGCGTGTCAGATTAAGATAGGAGGAATGCCTTACACCTAGTTGAATACCTCCACCATACATGAACCTACACATAGGGGGGGGGGGGAGGTTTATAATTTACAGTAATTTTTTGGCTGGCTATTTTGATAGGCTCCACTTTGTTTTGTTGTTCAATCTAATAGTAGGGGAGCCCTAGAAGGGATTTCAGGATTTACTCGAACGTGTCAGATTAAGATAGGAGGAATACCTTACACCTAGCTGAGTACCTCCACCATACATGAGCCTTACATATAGGGGGAGCGTCTAGGGCGGGCCATCAGATTAGTTTAAAAAAAATCGATGGCCAGAAATACTCGAGCGTGTAAGATTAAGGTAAGTTGAGGCCATTACATACACACTAGTGTGTATCTAAGAAAAACAGACGATTTGAGCGTATCATAAAGCGGTGGGAGGGTCACACAGTTCCAACAAAACATGTACCTTGACATTTCTTTTTTATTTTGAACCAAACAATTGAAGAAATCTTCTTTAAATGTCTACATAATTTTTCGTGCCTTTATTTGTCACATTTTATAAAAAATCAAAGAGATTTAAAATACCCTACAAAATTATCTTCAGATTTTTGGCTAGTATGACAGGAACATCAAGCTGAACCGTCTATATAAACTCTCACTGTCGGGTATTTTGAAATGGCGATTTAAAAAAAAATTGCAGATTGCATTTTCGATAATTCGCTACCAGCTTGGGTCACTTTAAAATCGTCAGACCTTTTAATGGGAGCATTTTTGGAGTCCAAATAACATATTCCCAAAATATATATACATATAAAGATATATATAAAGAGAAAAAAAAACGATTGTCAATCTATCGACTTTTCTGTTACCTGGTATGCATTGAATACAACGGTTTGCATTCACATAAAAGGTATAATTTGTAGTTGTGGGACGAGCACGCTCATTTCTTCTGTCTTTGGGTGTAATTAATTTATAATATGTATGTATTTAGAAGTATTTAAGTTTGTTTATCAGAGTCTGTTTACCTACTATCTGCCTAATTTAGGATCAGACTGCCGTGTGTTGGATGTGTGAAGTTATGCTTATTATTAATTTTGATTAAAATAAAATACATTGAATACCAATAATAATCGCTCGAAGATTCTGTTTAATAAATAAGAAATAAATAACTGTTGGTTTAGAAACTAACAACAATGTAAGTAAGTAGTTTATGTGCTGTAAAGTTGAAGCGATTTTTCAATCACTTTTATAGATTGATGACTTCCTCTATACCTACACGCAATTTACGCACATCTCTATAAATAGTTAATGCTGAGTTTATCACCACCACAACTCGTGTGAACATGAAATCAGTCTTGTATCTAATTTGTCTGTTGCTTTGCAGCAGCGGAACACTCAGCTATGAAGGCCGTAAGTACTTAATAGTTTTCAGCGTGTGTGAGTGCGTGTGTGTTTTTGGGCGTTTGTAATTTATTATGTTTATGCGTTATTTGTAATATAATAATAGGTCTTTACCTATGAAATTGCCGTTTTGTATGCAATAAGTGAAAGTACTTATTTTTTCAAACTTTTTATTTCTGTTATTCGAAGTAATCACCCATGCAATCGACGCATCTTTGCCAACGCATTGGCAGTTTATTGATGCCCTTCTTGTAAAAATCAGCTGGACGGGAGGCAACAAACTCTTCAAATGCATTTTGTACTGCCTCTTGGGAATTCAATTTTTTACCACTAAAAAGTTGTCTAAATTTTGGAAAAAGTAATAGTCGGTAGGTGCAAGTCTGGTGAGTATGAGAGCTTCCAACCCCAGCTCTTGCAGCTTGGAGACTGTCCTGTTGCGCAGTATGGGCAGTGGAGACGACCGATTGAACCAAAGCTGGTTGCAGATGTGCAAGCTTCTCCATCATTCTCTCCAGTTCTTCAAAAAACATCTGCATTTAAAGCTCATGCCGTTTTGTAAAAAGCTGTGGGTGAAACCACCCGCACTAGCCACCAAAAAGGCCATCACCCTTTTTTGGGGCTTTTTGGTTTTGGGCATTGCTTTTGGGGCTGAACCGGGGCTAACCAATTTGCTGAGCGTTTGATTTTCGAAATAACCTTTTTCGTCGCACGTAAAAATTCGTTTCAAAATCCCTTCATTTCTTTGCTTTTAGCACGCAAGGATTTCCGACGCGACTTTTGCGCGGCGATCGTTAGGTCGGGGGGGCCCCCATTATCAAGTTTTTTTACCTTCCCAAATTGTCGAAAAGGGGTCAATTTTTTTTTGTGCTTACTTTAAAAAGCTGCTCTAGCTCAGCAGACCTAAGATTGATTTTTGTAGTTTCCCACAATGCCTTTAATTCACTATTTTTAAACCAAAAGTCTCCGGACCATCACGAGCTTCTTTTTCAAGTCAACTTTTCCCGAACGATCCCGGGAAAAACCCAAAAACGGGTTGTGCGTTGTTTTTAAAGTTTTTCTCCGTAAACGTTTTTGAGTTACGTGCCCTTTTTTGTGCGTTGCCACGACGGGAAATTTTAAATTTCCCTTATTAACGAATTTTTAAAGTATCCCTTAGACGAAAAAAATTTAAATGTAATGAAAATACAAAGTAATAAAAAACAAAAAAACTAGTTTTTAAAAAGAAGTCTGGTTTTAAAAAAAAAATTATTTGAATTTGAATCAGAGCCATTTTCAAAATTTTTTTTATTTAAATGACCATCTAGGAAAGGCTTTCATAGGTAAAAAAACCCAATAAATATAAAATAATTACGTAATATATTTATTATTTTAAAAAATACACAACCATAATTCATTACCGTATACGGGCCCTGCTTGGGTAGGATCAAAAGGTTGTGGAAAGATTGTTTTATTAAAAAAAAGGGTTTTGGGAAAAAAAAACTCTTTTTTAAACTTTTTTTTTGTCTTTTTTAAAAGATAAAATCCCATTCATTGCGTTTTTGGGCCACGTTAATTTACTCATTGGTCCTTTGTACACTTTTAAACCATTACACAATGTCCTTCAGATCTGTCATTATTGTATTCTTCTATTCTGTAATGTAACAAAATATAAGGCTTAGAACGCACTAGCGGTTAGCCAGAACGCGGCGCGCCGTTGCGGTTCGCCGAAGCATATACGGTCAGCCGCAACGGCACGCCGTATTTTGGCTAATCGCGTCGTCTTTGTTGTATTGCGGTCCGCCGCAATCGTCAATGCGTCTAGTAATATTGGGCATGTATATATATATAGCGGGGAGTTCTTTGACATCTAAAATAAAGTTTTTCGTGTCAAAATCTAGTTAAAAGTAAAAAGTTTCGTGACAAACATGCTATAGCTAATTTAAATTCAGAAAAAAAACAGGATATCGGTTTAAAGGATTCAGCGTGCCGTATCGTTTAAAAAACGCAGTTGCCCGCCGCAGTCTCGAGGCTGCCGTAACGGTAGACAGCTGGCCGCACGTCATGCGTCAGTGCGTTTACATCATGCGTTTTCATATAAAATCGATTTACGGTAAACCGCAACGGCACATCGCAATGTGGCTAAGTGGCAAGTGCGTTTTAAGCCTAAGTCATAAAAACAAATAGTTTCTTCATTTCAACGAATGTTTAGATTTGAATGGTACAGAGTCGAATTTTGCAAACATTAGACTTTAGTTGTTGATAGAGTACAAATGGTAAAAAAATTTGAAGGAACTATTGACTACAAGTAAATGGTGGGGTGGTTATGTCGAATTCGAACCGACTAAAAACAGCACGCAATCTCGGGTAACAGTAGCCGGGGAACCAGGTGGACTCTAAAACGGAAATCCCTGGTACCCCGACGTACCTCGGGGTATCTATGGCGTGTAGATGACCCCCTCCTGTGTTTGAACCCAAATGTTCCCTTTGTGCTCCCCAAAGGGCGAGCGCGTTCTGATTCTGCTAGGGTGACAGATGGCTTCACCTATCACCCCTAGGCCTGAGCTTATGGAGGTCTCTCGTCTGCGGTACCTGGCCCGCTCCCGGGCCGCCTTGGGTTACTTTAACGTTTTAAAATTCACAGATCGAATCTCCAAGCAGAGCCATAATGATAACATCGAAAGACCTTGTCCCCTCTCCAGCATGACTTGTATTCGTAATTATTTTCAATCAAAACTTGGATGCGGGCCTCTAGGAGAACACATTTTAAAACCTTATTACCTGGAAAAAATAACAGCAGACATGCCTCACTCGAATGCTTCAGTCAGATTTGAGGGTGTTCGACTTCACGGTCTAAATACTGGAAGGATCACCGAGTTCTAGTAAGTGAATTGACGTGTAATCTGTACAATTTCGAATCTTAATAATCTTAAACCAAATCTTTGTTTATAACCTTAGCCTTGCATTTTATTTCAAAAATAGAATATTTTAGTGATATTCTAAAGAGGCAGTGCAAGAGTAACAATGGTTAACATTATATCTGTTGAAAACAAAAAAAAATATATGCTTATAACAGTTAAACAGGTTCATTTTCTGTAGAATTTGATTGTTAGCAAAATTTTATATTAAGGAATCAATTTACCTTTTAAACTGATCTTTAAACAGTTTGTAAAAGTTTCAAAGGTAAATGATACCAGTAACCACCACCACCAGTACCACAAAGATAGAACATAGACTCTACATGTAAACGGAAAGGCATCATTATAAGTAAATAAATCGTTTATTAGCATGAAATGATTAAATTTTTATTCGATTAATTCTATTGGACCCTTATTATGTTCCCAAGCATTAATTTTATCATTTCATCATAGGCTCATCTGCTAGGAATCTGTCGTTCATAGTAAATATGTTTTTTACAAAAGAGTTACAATAAACCTGTTTTTTGTTTTAAACTATTTTTCTCATTTGGGTATTAAAAAAACTAAAAATTAAATTTAAATCCGCACAATTGATATCTTTTTATTTTTAATTTGTTTTTTAACCAAAATTGCATGAGGTGGCATTTTACCTGCTATAATTATTACGTATTGTAAAATTTTTTAAAGTTTTTGTATTTTTTTTTAAAAGGAACAGAGTGGGGGGCTTATAAAAAAGTTGTCTTGCAATTACACTAATAGAAAATGATCCCGTTCCATAAATTCGATAGTGTGTAAGCGAAGTTTTAAGTTTTTTTTTACTAACTTTTTTTTTTATTTTTCATTAACAGAGTGCAATATTTTGGTTTTTCGAAGTTACTAGATAAAAATATGGATCCGAAAGAGCTACGATTATCTTACCTTTAAAGGGAAAAAGCCTCTTGAAGTAACTGACCCCCCTAAACATAATATTAGTACGAGTACATGTCTATTTTCCCTTTAAAAACACTCATTTTGTTTTTCTCAATCCTAATTTAAAAGAAAAATTCATAGGGGTACTCATATAGAAGAGTACGAGAGTTACGAAGTTAAAAAGTATTTCATTGTTTAATAAAATAAAACCCTATTAGGCTTTGTTTTTGAAAATTTGGAAACATGATTTTTTTTGAGCTTTTTTTACTCTTCTAGTCCTATGGGTAAATGATTTTTTGAAAAAAAATTTTTATTCTAATTAAATAATTTGACAGTTCCAGACAATTTAAAAATGTATCGAAACTTAATCGTGATAGGATTTGACATATTTATCAGCAGTTCTCGGATTAGAGTTTAATCAAAAGTATTCAATTCAGAGCTCAATAAACCTAAAGAAATTTAAAATGTTTTTATGTCACTTTAAAACCAATTAGATTTACATAGAAAAAGTTGGGGTAGGTTCTTTAAATTTTTATTTTTAATGAATTTGTTTTTGATATGTTTTTTTACAGAGGGGGACGCTTACCTACACCATCGAGCTTTCATGGTAGCAGAGGGGGAGATCAGCATTTTGCTATTTGTCCACTAAGAAAAATTTTAAATTAGGAGCACCCACATGCGACACACGGGCAAAGGTAATACAAATTTCTATGTACAGTAGAAAAAAATCCCACTTTTTTTAAATAGATCCGATTATGCTTATTTTACTGCTTTTAATATTAAGTTGTGACATTGATGTTGATGATATTCTATCTTTCCATGTTAAAAAAAATTGGGGATTTTTATTCGAGATTATAAACGGGAAGCGTTTTTGCTTTAGCCTTTTCAACTACGTGAAAACGACCCCCGATTTCAATTCTTATTTTGCAGAGGCGATTTGATAAAATTTGAAATGGTTTGAAGAAGAAAATTTCTGTACGGAAAAATTTATTCATGGGCCCGTTTACAGACGGGGTTTTTTCCCAAATAAAATTTGTGATATGACCACCTAGTTAAAGACCATTTTCTATAAAAAGTCTTACTTATTAACTACAAAATTGTATAATTTAGTGTAAAGAATAATTTTCATCTAAGATTATTTTCTCTTAAAAATCCTTTTTTTACACTTTCTTTTCGTTCATTCTACCCTTTCCCTTTGCTTATATTTTAAACTTTTTTTAACTTATGATAATAGTGTTTAATTTATTTTCCTATTTTAACAAATAGGAAATAATTTTTCCTTGCATTTTTCAAAACGTTTTTTTAATAATGGAATATATGTTCCGAAATTATTTTTAAGTAAACTATAACCTGACTTAATAGACCGATGTCAATGAATAAAACATATATGAAACTATCTATTATTATTACTGTTTATTGTACACCAATAGAAATACAGAAGCAAAAAAAATAAAACATAAAAAATGCACAATAGCCTTATTGCAATAAGCGATGTCTGCTAGGTAAACTTTGGATGGTCAGGGGAGCAAAAGACGGGCACGCCGTCATCGCGGCGGTAAGACCCGTTATGGAGGATTGGCTCGAGAGCCGTCACGGGACCCTCTCATACCGACTGACGCAGGTGACACTGGGAAAGGATGTTTCGGGATCCCTGTGTCGACCGCAAGGAGCCAACGCCTGGGGGCCCCACGCGATGGCGAACGTGGACAGGTGCGGCATGTGTGGAGCGAGAGTGTGTGGAACTCTGCTGTCTCCTTCTCGGTAATCGCTGCAAAAGGTGGCCTTTAATACTTGCTAATAATGTAGCTTTCCATTGATGAAAGAATTTTAGAATTGGTTTAGTAGTTTAGGCGTGAAAAGCGTAACAAACAAACAAACAAACTCTCTTTCACATTTATAATATGAGTATAGATGATCTAATACTAAAAGGCACTCAATAATATGTAGTATTTAAAAAAAAAAGGAAATAACATTATAATGTACTGGCCTTTAGGCTTGGCTTCGCCAGCTTGTATGTCGTTTATCGCGGTAAAAAGTAGCCAATGTTACCCGCTGATAATCTAGATAAGGGTTCGAGAATCAGTTTTCAAGATATTTTTTCATTTACGAGTACATGTTATGTTCCTGCATTCACATAAAAGGTATCATTTTGAAACATGTAAAATTTATTGATTACCAATAAATAATCGTTCGAAGCTTGTTTTTAATAAATTAAAAGAAAATAAATGTTGCTGCAATAACTAACAATAACGTAAGTAATTTATCTTATATATAAAATTCTCGTGTCACAATGTTCGTTCCCGTACTCCTCCGAAACGGCTTGACCGATTCTCATGAAATTTTGTGTGCACATCGGGTAGGTCTGAGAATCGGCCAACATCTATTTTTCATACCTCTAAATGGTAAAGGTGACCCATCCTAATTTTTTTTTTGTTTTGCAATACAACGTTTGCCGGGTCAGCTAGTATGTAATAAAATTCAAACAGTTTCTCAATAAATATTTTTTGATGACAGACCTCCACTATAAATACACGCAATTCATGCACATCACTATAAGTAGGTAGTAAATGCGGTTAAGTGCAAGTATATCATCACCACAACTCGTATAAAGGTGAAGTCAGTCTGGTATCTCATTTGTCCGTTGCTTGTTGGCAGTCAGATGAGCAAAAAATGGATGCGGTCCTTTAGGCGGGACCATTTCAAAACCTTATTACCCGGCAAAAATAACAGCTGACATGCCTCACTCGAATGCTTCGGTCAGATTTGAAGGTGTTCGACTTCAAGGTCTAAATACTGGACGGATCATTGACTGTTAGCAAGTGAAATAAAGGTTACTCTGTACATTTTCAAATTGTATGCACTCTTGACTTAACGCTAATTTTTGGTTTCAATTCTTAAATAATGTTAAAAACTATTTGTGGATATTCTATTCTAAACTCACTTAATTCTCCTTTCTACCTGACTTTCTTCTTGCCGTTTCTGTATGCTGTTTCTGTATGCTAATTACCACAGAACCATTGGTTTTGCATAAAATCCTCTTATGCTATGCCTCCCTCATACCTTTGCGTGTCCGCTCTTCATTTCTAACTCAATCTGTCCTGGGACGCTCTAATCTCTAAATCATGATGGCACGTAGCTGCCTTTCGTCCAAGACAAAAGTTCGAGGTTATATTTTGATTAATTGTGAGTACATCAGTGAGTACATGTATTAAAAGAAATAATAATATTTTATTTTGGCCGTTTTATTAGAGGCTTAAAGACAAAAAAAATAGTATTAAGACGTCGCGTTACCAATTTTGGAAGGTTGTTTTGTTTTAGGTTTAACATTTTTCCTGTCTTCTTATGGATTCAATTAAAGAGGATTAAGTTCTGTCAAGGCTTAGGTGTTTCGTAATAAAAACGTGATAAATTAAGCATATTTATCAGCAGCTGGGATATTTTTTCTAAAATTTTCAAGAAGTAAACATTAGGGTGAGATTTTCCCAATCTCAAGAAGGGATAATGTTAGGAAGAGAAAGGAATATTATTGTGATTCTATATTAAAACTATTTAGATTTACAGAGAACAAATATTAAAAAGACTTGTTTATAACATTGACTTTGGCTATGTTTGTCTTACCGATGGGTTATCACTTACATTCACCATTCAAGACTTTCATGGTAGCAGATCGGGAGATAAGCACGGTTATGGCTATTTTGATCATCATAAGACGTACCTTAAGTTGGGAGCAGAGCAGATTTGTAAGCAACACTGGCAAAGGTAACACTTATTTTAATTTACACTGACAAATAAAATTACCACTTTTTTTAATAAAAGACAATTTATGAAATGTTTTGCTTTTTAATATTAAGATATTCCATATTAGGTTAATGATATTACTAGCTTTTGCATGCTTAAAGTAGCGTGCTTGCTATTCCAGATTATAAGACAGTACAGATGTTCTGGCGGGATTAGGTTTCATACGTCCTTTTAAATTTTTGCATTTATAATAGTAGTAAGATTGTACTTACACATTAAAATTTTAATGTGTAAGTACGCTCAAAATTTGGTGCTTTT